CTGTGACCTGGGGCAAGAAACTTTGTTTCTCTGGGACCTGTTTTCTTCCTCTAAAGTAAAGCCTTGCCATTCTCTAAAGTCGCAGCCTTGAGTCTGTGAAGTGATTCTTTTGTCCTGTAGTGGAGAAAGAAAGCTCACAGAAGTTTTGCTTCCACTGGCCTGTGCAGACCAGTACAAGACAGAAAGTAGGGGAGAACTGAGGAATAAGAATGCTGGAGTGGACCTCAGAGATGCCTGTCATCAGGAATGAGTGTCTAGTGCAGCCCATCGCCCACAGAGGAGTGGCTAACTTGTCCACAGCTGCCCAGCTGGCCTGGGGCAGAGCAGCAGTGAGGCTGAGACACTCCGACCTGGGTGCTGAGAAAAGCTCATCTCCACCAGATTGTAACCTTAGAAAAGTCTGTCTTCATTAAGGAAAAAATGCCCGAGGATTTGGATATAGAATAAGAGGGCGTGGATGGCCCCAGTCTGCAGCAGAAGAGGAGGATACAGTGCACCTTGATGGGATTGTGAATCCATCCAAAAGTCCAGGTTTGATGTAGTGGAAGGAACAGTCCCGGCTATGTCACTTACTGCCTAAGTGACCTTGGGCAAGTCATTTCCTCTCTGTAGGTCTCAGTCTCCTCATCTGTAAAATGAAAGGGTTGGAATTAATCCATCCCTCCTTGCTCTAGCTCTGTGATCTTATGACCTTTCAAGCACTTAGAAACACAGCCCTTGGCAGCAGGTTTAGAATTTAAAGTCATTTGCAAAATGGTAAAAAAAAGTTTACTAAGAGTATTTTCTCCCAAAATACTGAATAGTAGTGGAGAGGAAATTGAGGCTGCAGAAAGCTTGATGTGAAACTCATTTAAACTCTGTCTTCCCCAAACCAACCCATTTATGGTTGAAACTGGAAAAGAGCATGACAAATACAAATGAGATTGGAAATGATCTGTCATCTATTCCAAGTGTTAGATTTTATTACTGATGCCAGTGAACCACCCCAATTAACCCCTTAGTTCATGATGCACTTATTACGTAAAGAAGTTGAAATAGTGCTCAAGGTGTTGGGTTCAAGAACAGCTGGACCAGAGCAAGTGCACACGGAAGATATCTGTGCTGCCGGTGACACCATTTTGAAAGGCTTGATGAATCATTTTTCCAGATGTTTGGGGAACAGGAGGAAGATTGCCTAAAATGGGGGGGGTCATATTTAATTTTACTACCAATAAAAGGCAACTAAGAGGACGTTAGTAACTGATTTACATGCCTATTTTCTTGTCACTATAAAATCATTATGAGAGTGATCTAAATATACGATCATAAAGCAGGGCATCCCCAATGGAAATATGAGAGGTGTGCCAGTCATTGAAGGAGACCGAAGCATAGCAGGGGACAGCCTGAGTGTTATATTGGTGAGCGTAACAATATAAGAAGACCTTTCGGCATGTTGTTTGGAGTCAGTAAAGAGTTTATGAGGGGACAAGAATCGAACAGGAAGAGAAGGCGTGGATGGGTGGTCATCTGCAACCCAGAGGGTTTTTAAGTATCGAGGAATGCCTCATATGTGAACCCGAAGCAAGCAGCTAAGAGCTAAGACTCAGCCGCATTCCAGGTCAGCGTTGGACTCGTCCTGCCTCTTCCATCCTGTACTTCCTGAGTGGATCTTTGGACCCTGTTTCACTTCACAGCCATCTCTGCTCGGTTTCAGTTCAGCCTGTTGAACCTTTTGGGGTCCTGCCTTTGTCACCCAAAGCGATAGCAGTTACTCCTTCTTGTTTTGTATCATCGACAAGTTTACCTAGTGTGCCTTAGAAGCCTTCATTCAAGTCATTCACAAGAATGTTAAAATTGCAAGATAAGCCAGTCACGGAAGCGCTCCGTCAGAGGACTTCCCAGTTTGCACTGACTCATTTTGACTCCTCTGTGTCTAGTGGCCAGTCATTCAGCAGGTTCCCAACGCACCCACCTTACTGTCCCAGCCATCATCCGTCCCACTTCTCTCCATTCCCCCCTGAAAACTGCCATGAGAGATGACTGCCTGAAAGCCTAGTTTACTGTGTCTGCAGCATTCACTGATCTACCTTTCTCTTGTCTCTTTTGTCCCAAAAGGAGGTGGAATTAGCCTGGCATGAGCTGTTTTTGGTAAAGATATCCTGGTTTTTAATTATGAATGTTTCTGATAGGATCATGGTGTAATAAGGGTCATCCCATGGAGCACATTCCAAGTCTCCCTTCTTGGCTCTGACAAACCCTTGGTGTGCCCTCAGGGTCAGCCAGAAGCAGGAGGGGCGACCCAGAGCATTCTTCATGGAGTGGACTTCGTGATAAGAGGTTCACAGGGCTCCAGGGGCTTTCGAAATCTAACCCCTTCATTTTACAGATAAGGAGACTGAGGCCTGGAGAAGGTGATCACACAAGTCATAAATAGCAGAGCTGGTCTTCTGACCCCAAATCCAGCATTATTGCCATGACCAATTCTTTTGATCAATGGGAAGTTTCTAGAACACATGATTAGAGGTGAGATTGCCAGCTCCTTCTCCTTCCCTCTGGACCAGTTGCCATTTTCCCATCCTGTGGCCCTTCTTCCACTCTCCACGCGCCTCAGAGAGCCCTGCCTGTAGCTCAGTGACCACGTGCCCTGGTTCTTTCCTTCCTCCCTCAGAGTGTCTAGTGGGTGTCGCCTTCTGGGTCTGGGGCTTGAATTCATGGAAAGAACTTATATTTGGTTTCATTTCCCAGTGAATCATTTTCTTACCTCTTTCTCAATCGAAACATTATCCCTCTTAAGAGGAAATAACAGCAGGATAAAGTTTAGAAGCTGCCTCAGACAAAGGTAGCACTTATGGGGGGGGGGTGACCAGCTCCTGTCACCAGGAGAGGCCCACAGTCATCATTTTGACAAGCCTCAAACAACGAACATGTATTTTGGAAGAACCTGCTGTGGACGTCGCTTTCAATGGGCTTGGTGCTAGGGGACAGAGCAGGCACAAAGAAGGATAAGGAGCAGTCCGTGACTGTTTACTGCAGGAACCAGCACCTGTCTGAGAGAAAGATAAGGAGCAATAGAAAGGCCAGGATGGGGGCGTCCTGAGGAGAGGGCTAGAGTGGGCCAAGGAGGACAGGGTTGAGTGGCGTCTGAGAGAGGGAGATGAACAGATATGCCGCAACCTCCTGGCCTTTGCCCATCTTTTAGCTCCGTGGTAACGAGTGGGAAATGGAGGGGGCAAGAGCCTCAAAGATTCAACAGCCCAGCTTGTTATTTTGTTCTCACTCAGGGGTGGGGAACCTGTGGCCTCAGGGCCACATGTGAGGCCACACTTGAGGACCCAGAGGGCCACACATGGCCTCAGGCCACAGGTACCCCATCCTCGCTCTCACTTCTCAAAAGGAACCGCATGCTATCCTTGTTGCCTCGACTGGGTCCCTCGGGAATATCAGCATCAACCCCACCTCCCCAACATTGCCTTGGGTCCCTGAAGATCTGATGAGCAGGTCCACAAATATGGCCCCACCTGTCCCTCCTCCCTCAGGGGGCTGATGTGTGGGTACAGTTAATAATGAAGGTAAACAGGTCTCCTATGCTCTTTAGCATCCTACAAACAGAGTGCTAGCATTATTATAAACAGATTCCATGCAAGGCAGAAGTCATTAATTTAGGCAATGTAACAGAATGTTTGCTTTGTTTTCGACCGTCCCTGAAGCCCTGGCTCGCTGTTTGACATTAAACAGGCCCCTGGAGAAACAGGGAGGTTACTGGCTCGCTTGGGGTGCCAGAGACCACCTCAGCGGCAGGATGTGGTATCTGGCAGGAGATGACGTGCCTCAGAGTGAGGGAGCGGAGAGGCTGAGCTCTTGAGACGCCGCCCCGCCCCTCCTCCGTCCTTTACCCCGCAGCGTGGACCAGGGCAGGATGGGCAGGGATGAGAAGCAGAGGGGAGCTGAGCAGAGAGGGGGTGCGTGGTCATGGTAGAGCTGAGGAGAGGTGGCAACCAGCCCTTTGTTCTCCTCTCCATGACACATGCCCAATGTGTTATAACCAGGGACGGTGCTTGGTACGCAGTAAAGGCTTAATAAATGCTTGTGTGAGCGAATGAAGAGAAAAAGATTCAAGAAATGTTTGTCAGCAATGTGTATCCTGTTTTAAATTATGGCCTGACTCGTAATTTATTCAGATTGATTTTCCGAGTGAATTCACAGTAGTCAGGGAAGTAGAGGAAGAACCGAGTTCAAATCTGGCCTTCGGTACTTACTAGCTATGTGACCCTAGGCAAGTCACTGTTGGCCTCAGTTTCCTCATCTGTAAAATGAGCTCGAGAAGGAAATGGCAAACCACTCCAGCTTCTGTGCCAAGAAAACCCCAAATGGGGTCATGGAGAATCGGACGTAACCGAAACAACCGAACACCAAGGGAGTCTTCCTGCATCTAATGGCAAGTTGGCACTGAAGTGCCTCTCATGGACCATTGTTGGGCAGTGCCACTCTGGTGACCCATGCTACCTGCTTCGCCTACCCCAGAGGTCTAGTGCTGCATCTGACGAGCCACCAACAAGGGGATGTTCAGACTCTTTTTAAAAATAATGTCACCGAATTGTTCCCTTGTGCCGGCACCCAAACCACAGGCACAGTTGCACCACATAGATATGAACACTTGGTACCAGCCCAGGGTGCCTGGGGGGATGCGTTCCCGAGAACTTTACCACCAGGGGCAGGTCATTCAGTGCCCTGGCCGGTGGGGAGCAGGGAGTGTTGGGAAATGTCTCTGGGAGAAAACACATCCCCACAACACAGTGTTAAGTGTGATCTACGTCATTAACATTTTCTTCATCCCTTTCTAAGTGTAGACGATCAACGTCACAACAGACCAAGCTCTGATTCTTGTGTTTGTCAGTCTCCAGGGTGCACGGTTCTCCTTCAAGCTGGCTCCGGCACGCCCCGGAGCCCGAGGGTCAGAGGGTGCAGATGCTGGTCTCCTGCCTGGCTTGTGCACGAACGTCAATTCTGCTTCTCTCTTTCAGAATGCATGAACTGCACCCGGTTGAACGACATGACTGAGAGGCTGTCTGCGCTGGAAGTCAAGGTCAGGACCAAGCCTGGTTGTGGGGGGAGGGCGGGGGGGGGGAGAGGAGGAGGAGGAAGGTCTGCTGGCCACCGTGTTCCCACCTCTACTTCCCATTAGGCGCAAAGTGGATGGCAGACAGGCAACAGTGGTGGCAACCCATTCAAAATGGACACCCCCGTCCCAATCCCTGGCCCGTCCTGGGAAGGAAACTGGACAGAAGGGCAGGCATTTCTGATGTGGATTTCTCACACTGCTTGTAGGGTTTGTACAGAGTCATGAAGTCAGCAACACTGGTCCACTTTCCCTCCTGTGCTCTCGCCTCAAGGCTATGGATACCTCTACACATGCACACATGCACACACACACACGCGCGCGCGCGCACGCGCACATACACACACACACCCACCAATCAAAGAGGTGCTCATCCTGGTCCTCCACACATGCACACACACGCACACACATGCACACACCAATCAAAGAGGCGCTCATCCTGGTCCTCCATACATGCACACATAAACACACATACACACACACACACACACCAGAGAGGCGCTCATCGTGATCCTCCACACATGCACACATACACACATACACACATACACACACACACACACACACACACCAATCAAAGAGGCGTTCATCCTGGTCCTCCACACATGCACACATACACACACACACACACACACACACCAATCAAAGAGGCGCTCATCCTGGTCCTCCACACATGCACACATACACACACACACACACACACACCAATCAAAGAGGCGCTCATCCTGGTCCTCCACACATGCACACATACACACACACACACACACACACCAATCAAAGAGGCGCTCATCCTGGTCCTCCACACATGCACACATACACACACACACACACACACCAATCAAAGAGGCGCTCATCCTGGTCCTCCATACATGCACACGCACACACATGCACACACACATGCACACACCAATCAAAGAGGTGCGTATTTGGTCAGAGCTGATAAGACTGCAGGTGTTTGCACATCCCTGGTACATGCATTCTCCCAGGCGCCCCCTCGAGCCTGGAAGGCAGACGGCTTTATGCGGTGGAAGATCTCTGCTCAGAGAACCTGGTCCAGTGCTGCTGTGCTGTGCTCACTGTCTGGGTGAGCATGGGCAGAGCACCAGCCACTGAGGTCTCAGGTCCCTGACCTGGGCGTGAATCCTGTCCCCACTCTGCCTGTTGTTGTTCAGTTGTTTCAGTCATGCCCCCTTCTTTGTGACCCCTTTGGGGTTTTCTTGGCAAAGATGCTGGAGTGGTTTGTCATTTCCTTCTCTGGCTCATCTTATAGATGAGGAAACTGAGGCAAACAGGGATTTGCCTGGGGTCACATAGCTAGTAAGTGTCTGAGTCTGGATTTGAACTCACGTCCTCCTGACTCCAAGGTTGGTGCTCTATCCACTGCACCATTGGCTGCCTAAGGACAGGGAGTTTCCTCATAGCAGAGAAATCTCTATTTAGGGCTTAGGATGCCCTGCCCTCCTCTCTGGGCCTTACTTTCCTCATCTGTAAAATGGGAGAGTTACATTAGGGTACCCCTTCCCAAACTGTGTTCCTCCAAATGCTGGTGCCCTGAATGCTGGGAAGAGAGGCTTCAGTACAAATTTGTTTCATTTCCCCAGAATTTTGAGGTATTGGTTCTTTCCATGGAAAACAAGAGTTTGGATGGCTATGATGGTTCCTGGGATTTAGAGCTGAGAGGGTCCTTGGCCATCACCTCATTTTATGGAAGAGGAGCATGATTGTGGCATTAGAAGCCCTGAGTGCCAGTCTCAGCTGAGCCTCAGTATCTTCTCTGTCACGTGAGGGTCATGGCAGGAGGTCCCTTGTAGCAGCAGACCCCCCATGATCCTCAGGGTAGGTCAGAAGAATGTTGCTCAGCACCGCAGGCAGTTTGCCTGGTTTGGGCTAAGTGCCGCCAGACAAAGATCCCTACCAGGTGAGGATCTCTGTTACTCCAGAGTCTCCCCACTGCTCGGTGAGGCACCCAGAGGCTGCCACTGAGCAGCCGCTGTTGCATGGCCACTGTGTGTTGGGGTAGTCTAAGATCTGTCTCACTCTGGGAGTGCAGGTCACCAGTGCCAACTAAGGGAAGCATACGTCTACCCACATGGCCTGAGAATTTTAGCCTCCAAATTACAAACTGAATTTCCCTTCAACCATGTCTAGTTAGACCCCCTTCTGCCTGACCATGGCCACCACTACAGTCATGTGAGCACAGATTTAAGGCTGAAAGGGACCTGAGAGGCCATCAAATCCAACCCCCTCATTTTACAGATGAGGAAACTGAGGTCCTGGGAGGTCATGACTTGAGTCAGCATGATCCCACCAGGCTCTCTTCATTTCTTTTCTTGGCCAAATTAATGCATTGGAAGATCAGAGAACCGTTGTAGACATGGTATACCTGGATTTCAGCAAGGCCTTTGACACAGTCTGTCGTACAAACTGTCCTGTGGAACAAGATGGGCTGAATGACAGGACAGTTCAGTGGGTTCAGAATGTTCCAAAAGACTAGATCCAAAGAGGCATCCTTAATGGTTCCATGTCATTGTAGGGGGAAGGTCTCTGTGGAGCAGGCTCAGGCTCTATCCTTGGTCCTGTTCTGTTTTGACGGATGGCTTGTAGAAGGCAGACGCACCATTCTTAGCAACTTGGCAGCAACCCGCCTGGGACTAACACACTGGATGACAGAGTCAGGATGCAGAGGAGGCTGGGCAGTCTAGACCAAAGGACTGAGGCTAATGGGAAGAAATTTACTAGGGAAAATGTCAAGTCATTCAAAAATATCAATTACGTGAGGACAGAAGAGGGAAGCCTAGCTCAACAGCAGCTCCTGTGAAAAGGATCTGAGATTACTGGACCTGCAAGCCCCAGATGAGCCAAAGGCTCCCATGAGCCCTGGCTGCTCCCCTCCATGAAGGAGGGGTGGGCACTCTGGGCTCTGCCTCAACCTGAGCGCCACACCTGGGGAACATTAGGAGAAATTTGACAAAATGGACAAAGTCCAGAGGATCTGGACAACCAGAACTATGAGAGAAATATGGTATCTTGCCATTTAACAAACACCTATTATATACAAGGTGCAGCTAAGTAGCACAGTGGATAGAGCACCAGGCCTGGAGTCAGGAAGATCTGAGTTCAAATGTGGCCTCAGACACCTACTTAGCTGTGTGACCCTGGGCAAGTCACTTAACCTCTATTTGCTTCAGTTCCTCATCTGTAAAATGGGGACACACTGGAGAAGGAAATCTTGAGACACTCTAGTATCTTTGCCAAGAAAAGCCCATGGACAAAGCCCATGGGGTCACTCAGAGTCAGCCATGACTGAACAACAACATACGAGGCACTGTGCTAGCTGCCGGGGGTGCGGACAAAAATGAAACGGGATCGTCTGCACTAAATGGGCACGCTTGGCCTGGAGAAGACAGGATTTGGGAACAGATCGGAGCCTGTCATTTTACCTGACAAGAGCTAGTATCGCTGAGAACCACAGCGTGATAGGCTTGCACTTGGGAAGACCTGGATTCAGATCCTGTTTTAGGTACTCTCTGTGGGACCCAGGGCAAGTCACTCATTTCTCTGGACCCATGTTTCCTCATCTGTAAAATGGGAATGATAACACCCAGACTGCCTCCGTCACAGGGTTGTTGAGAGGCTCAGATACGACAGTGTGGGAAGCCCTTTGCAGGCTTGAAGCCGCATATACAGTGAGGCATTAGGAGTCAGAGCGCTCCTCACCTTCCTTGCCTTGGGTCCTGCCCAGTCGCCCCTGGATTTTGCTGCACCCCCAACCTCCAATTTAACATGTTCCCTCCTGCCACAAGAAACATCACAGCAAGAGAGTGAGCTCACCCTCTCATCCTGGGCCACTGCCTTCTGCTGAGGGTGGAAACCATAGGAAAGAGAATCCTATTAGATGAGGAAGTGTACAGAGTGGGTGGCATTGACAGATTCCAGCATGAAGCTGGGTGAGGAGAGGTAGCTGACTGTGGTTAGGTGTGCTGTGGGACGCTGGCCTCAGAACGTGCCAGGTCTCTGTCTCTGGAACCAGAGGTGTGAATGAAAGGGGAGTGCAGGGAGAGGAGGGTGGTGGTGGTGCCTCCCGAGGCATGGCCTTTATGGAGCCGACATTCTTTCCTACCACATGCGACCTCCACATGGCTTGGCACGGATCAGGGGGATTGACAGCCTCAGTTTGCAGCTGGCCGAGGCTCAGAACACAAGGATGTGAAAAGTCACAGCCCTTTGGGGAGGTCGACGTGGCTTCGTGCCCGCCCACCATCAGCCTGGCATTCACCAGCATAGAGCACAGCTAGTCCCACCTTGTCATGAGCAATTCATTTCTCCAGTCCCCTCTGCTCTGACACTGGTAAATGAACAGCCAGCTTGAGCTGCCCAGATCTGCTGCTGGAACATATGTGCCCCCAGCCCAGAGGAAAATCGGGCTGGGGGCTGCCAGCGAGCACCAGGTGCTGATGACTCAGCCTCACAGCGTGTTCCTATTAAAACACTAGGGTGGGAAGAGATGAAAGTGGGGCCGTAGGCTGGGGCCCTTCTCTTAGTTATCAGAGAAAGTGCATTCATAGGAAAAGAAGATCAGTTAGCAGTCAATCATTAAGCACCTTCTGTGTGCTCCTTGTTGTCCCAGATGCTGTGGAAGGAAACAATCCCTACCCTCAAGGATCTTACATTCTACCAGGAGAGCAAACCCGCACACCTCTAAGCATGGGAATAGCAATGGAGACCGGGCCTGGGGTTTCACTGGGACGAGGAACTCCCTCTGTCAGGGCTGGGTGGCCTCAAGCCTCAAGAGGTCAAGTGGCTTGTCCAGGGTCCCACAGCCACTATGTATTAGAGGCAGGACAAACATAAGTGTGTGTAAACTAAATAGAAGGTAGTTTGGGAGGGAGAGCACTAGTGCTGGGGTGGGGGGGGAGGGTCAAGAAAAGAAACCTTCATAGGCAGAGATGGTAGAGTGCTTGCTGGGT